CTCTTCCGATCTATTAGGGCAGCTGCCCATTCCTTCCCTTCTTTTCTATCCTTTCTCGTTCTTTCTGGCACTCTTACCCCTTTAATTATTATGTTACACCTTCTCTCTTCCCTATCCTTTTCCACTACCCACCTCTTAATTTTATCCACTTCCCTATCACTCAGCCTTCCTCCGCTTGACCTCCCTGTGACACTGCTTCTTCCTGATCTATAACTGTAAATACTTCTTCCATCCTCTCTCTCACTCCCCTCTCCACTTGTACCTCCTTCTTCTATACCTGCCTTTTCCCAGTTCTCCAATTCTGTCGTTCTCTCCTCTAATCTCGAAATCTTTTTCTCGCATTCCTTTATTATTTCTTTCAAACCCTTTATTTCCTCCCTCACTGTTTCCTTTTCCTCTTTCCATGCCTTAACCTCTTCCTTTACAATCGCTTTTACTTCCTCGATAATCCTCTGTCTTTCCTCCTTTCCTAGTCTCTCTTCTCCTATCTTAAACGTTACTTTTTTCTCCTTACTTCCTATATTCTCCACCACTAATTTTCGCTGTTTCTCTTCCTGCCTCGTTCTGCTTACCTTTCCCGCTCTTTCCGAGCCACCGGTATCCCTGCCCGCCATAACCTCACTTCCCCTGTCCTCTTAATCTCCTCTATCTCACGTTTTTCCTCATCCCTACCTTTGCCTTTATCTCCTCCGCTTTTCCGTCTTTTCTCTTCTCCGAATCCTACCCACACTTACTTTCTCTTCTCCTCAATCTCTAAATATCTTACTCTACACTACGCACTCGCTCACGCTGCACACGCTCTCATTCACGCCATCTAACCAAGTCCAATTGTAATAGTAAAAAATAAATAAATATAAATAAAAAACAAAATAAAGAAATAATGTAAAAAATGTAAATAATATTAAATTATAAAAAAATAAAATGTAAATGAAATAAACAAAAATAAATTACGTAAAAAATATTTAAAAAATAGATATAATATGTAATTTTTGAACTGGCCTTCTGTGATTTTTATTAATTGCAGGAGTAATATTTATATAACTATTATCGCGTACCATTAAATATTAATATATACAGGGTGATTCAGAATAACCCCGGTGTCCCTGAAAAGACGTATTCTTGACTCAATTCTAAGACGATTTTTCCTTTACAAAAATTTTGTCTGAAGTTTAGTTTTCAAATTATAACAAGAAATAGTTAGCAAATTACGGGCCGCGTACGGATGGTAGGCAGGGGCGGCGCAACTTACTGTCCGCCGGCAGGCGGTACGCGGGACTGTCGCGACGATCAGCTGACTACACGCGCGCATAAACATGCGTTTACATTCTCTCTCTCTCTCTCTCTCTCTCTCTATGTTTTTTCACACACACACACA